AAAAAAATCCAAACCTACATGGCCCTGTGTGAAAAAGTGATTGCCCCCTAAACCTAATAACTGGTTGGGCCACCCTTAGCAGCAACAACTGCAATCAAGCGTTTGCGATAACTGGTAATGAGTCTTTTACAGCGCTTTAGAGGAATTTTGGCCCACTCATCTTTGCAGAATTGTTGTAATTCAGCCACATTGGAGGGTTTTCGAGCATGAACCGCCTTTTTAAGGTCATGCCACAGCATCTCAATCAGATTCAGGTCGGGACTTTGACTAGGCCACTCCAAAGTCTTCATTTTGTTTTTCTTAAGCCATTCAGAGGTGGACTTGCTGGTGTGTTTTGGATCATTGTCCTGCTGCAGAACCCAAGGGCGCTTCAGCTTGAGGTCACGAACAGATGGCCGGACATTCTCCTTCAGGATTGTTTGGTAGACAGCAGAATTCATGGTTCCATTTACCACCGCAAGTCTTCCAGGTCCTGAAGCAGCAAAACAGCCCCAGACCATCACACTACCACCACCATATTTTACTGTTGGTATGATGTTCCTTTTCTGAAATGCCGTGTTACTTTTACGCCAGATGTAATGGGACATACACCTTCCAAAAAGTTCAACTTTTGTCTCGTCATTCCAGAGTATTTTCCCAAAAGTCTTGGGGATCATCAAGATGTTTTCTGGCAAAACTGAGACGAGCCTTTATGTTCTTTTTGCTCAGCAGTGGTTTTCGTCTTGGAACTCTGCCATGCAGGCCATTTTTGCCCAGTCTCTTTCTTATGGTGGAGTCATGAACACTGACCTTAATTGAGGCAAGTGAGGCCTGCAGTTCTTTGGATGTTGTTCTGGGGTCTTTTGTGACCTCTTGGATGAGTCGTCGCTGCGCTCTTGGGGTAATTTTGGTCGGCCGGCCACTCCTGGGAAGGTTCACCACTGTTCCATGTTTTCGCCATTTGTGGATAATGGCTCTCACTGTGGTTCGCTGGAGTCCCAAAGCTTTAGAAATGGCTTTGTAACCTTTTCCAGACCGATAGATCTCAATTACTTTGTTTCTCATTTGTTCCTGAATTTCTTTGGATTGCAGCATGATGTCTAGCTTTTGAGGATCTTTTGGTCTACCTCACTTTGTCAGGCAGGTCCTAATTTAAGTGATTTCTTGATTGAGAACAGGTGTGGCAGTAATCAGGCCTGGGTGTGGCTAGAGAAATTGAACTCAGCATTCCAAAGATGTGATAAACCACAGTTAATTTATGTTTTAACCAGGGGGGGGCGCACAATCACTTTTTCACATAGGGCCATGTAGGTTTGGATTTTTGGATTTACTTGTGTTATCTTTGTCTAATATTTAAATTTGTTTGATGATCTGAAACATTTAAGTGTGACAAATTTTAGAATATTGTGAAAAGGTTCAATATTGAAGACACCTAGTGCCACACTCTAATCAGCTAATTAACTCAAAACACCTGCAAAGGCCTTTAAATGGACTCTGTCTAGTTCTGTAGGCTACACAATCATGGGGAAGACTGCTGACTTGACAGTTGTCCAAAAGACGACCATTGACATCTTGCACAAGGAGGGCAAGACACAAAAGGTCATTGCAAAAGAGGCTGGCTGTTCACAGAGCTCTGTGTCCAAGCACATTAATAGAGGCGAAGGGAAGGAAAAGATGTGGTAGAAAAGTGTACAAGCAATAGGGATAACCACACCCTGGAGAGGATTGTGAAACAAAACCGATTCAGAAAGAGTGGACTGCAGCTGGAGTCAGTGCTTCAAGAACCACTACGCACAGACATATGCAAGACATGGGTTTCAGCTGTCGCATTCCTTGTGTCAAGCCACTCTTGAACAACAGACAGCGTCAGAAGCGTCTCACCTGGGCTAAAGACAAAAAGGACTGGACTGCTGCTGAGTGGTCCAAAGTTATGTTCTCTGATGAAAGTAAATTTTGCATTTCCTTTGGAAATCAGAGTCTGGAGGAAGAGAGGAGAGACACACAATCCACGTTGCTTGAGGTCCGGTGTAAAGTTTCCAGTCAGTGATGGTTTGGGGTGCCATGTCATCTGCTGGTGTTGGTCCACTGTGTTTTCTGAGGTCCAAGGTCAACGCAGCCGTACACCAGAAAGTTTTAGAGCACTTCATGCTTCCTGCTGCTGACCAACTTTATGGAGATGCAGATTTCATTTTCCAACAGGACTTGGCACCTGCACACAGTGCCAAAGCAACCAGTATCTGGTTTAAGGACCATGGTATCCCTGTTCTTAATTGGCCAGCAAACTTGCCTGACCTTAACCCCATAGATTTTCTGTGGGGTATTGTGAAGAGGATGATGCGAAATGCCAGACCCAACAATGCAGAAGAGCTGAAGGCCAATATCAGAGCAACCTGGGCTCTCATAACACCTGAGCAGTGCCACAGACTGATCGACTCCACACTGCAGTAATTCAGGCAAAAGGAGCCCTAATTAAGTATTGAGTGCTGTACATGCTCATACTTTTCATGTTCATACGTTTCAGTTGGCCAAGATTTCTAAAAATCCTTTCTTTGTATTGGTCTTAAGTAATATTCCAATTTTCTGAGATACTGAATTTGGGATTTTACTTAGTTGTCAGTTATAATCATCAAAATTAAAAGAAATAAACATTTGAAATATATCAGTCTGTGTGTAATGAATGAATATAATAGACAAGTTTCACTTTTTGAATGGAATTAGTGAAATAAATCAACTTTTTGATATTCTAATTATATGACCAGCACGTGTGTGTGGAAATAAATCTCATACCGTTGGAAAGTCTGTTTATTTCCCTTTCAAACGGTGCCACATTTGTAAGGAACATTAATTTGTGGGATGAGCAGCAGTGCTGAGTATGTCGGTTGCGCCAATGAAAAATTTCCCAAATCTTCTCTGCCAATGCCAAACAGCTTATTTTGCCATTGACTCTTGTTTGGTGGGTTGAATTCTGAAGAAACAAGACATATTGGCAATTTAACAATTTATTCATTTAAGAAACAGGAGCCTCAGTAGCGTGTGGAAGAACCATACACAGCCACAACAGCCTGGCACCTCCTCCTCATGCTGGTCATCAGCCTGCTCACACACTGCTGTGGAATGGCATCCCATTCTTCAAAAAGCATTTGTCGCAAGCCAGCCAACGTGGTTGTGTTGGTCGCTCTGGCACGAACAGCACGCCCAAGCTGATCCCACAAGTGTTCAATGGGGTTTTAGTTCAGTACTGCTGACAGGCCATTCCATCCTCTCCACTCCCAAATCCTGGAGGTAGTGTCTGATAAACCCCGCTCTGTTGGCATTGGCAGAGAATATTTGGCAAATATTTCATGGGCGCAACCCACATACTCGGCTCTGCTGCTCATCCCACAAATGCATGTTCCTTACAATTGTGGCACCATTTAAAAGGGAAATAAACAGGCTTTCAAACGGTATAAGATTTATTGCCAAGAAGCATTGTTGCAACAAAGAAATAATCTACCAAACACAAATGTCCTTACTTTTTGCGTTATGTTTATATATGTATCACTTGCAATCTACAGTATATAGGGCACTGGGTCTCTCTGCCATGTGATCTTGTAAGATTTAGTTTTTGGCAAGAAACTTCAGGCAGATCATCGGGGATTAATAATAAATTTGCAAAAAACCAACCTGTTTTCAAACTTCCATAAGGTGAGATAAGACTCTACTATGATACGTAACATATGTATTGCTTCCAGGGAGCATCGCCACCAAGGTTTTCCATGAGGTTTTGCTGGATACGTGTTCAGACTTGACCTCTTACTGCTGGCCTCAGGACTCTGGAAAGAAGCGGAAGAAGGATGGCCTGAAGAGCTCTCAGGCGGATGGCAAACGCTCCAAACCACAGCGTAAAGGAACTTCAGAGGTAAAGTCCTCTATCTGAAATCACTCAAACCTGCCAACAGGGCCGCGGTAATATGACGGCACAACCATTTTCTTCAGACTTTCATACACAAACCTCATATGTAGTGCCACCTAGCAGGTTGAATTGTCTTAGTTCAGGTTGAAATGTCCTAAAACCTTCTGGATGGATTGCCATGATGTGAGGGTTACCATGAATGTCTACAAAGGGTGAATTTTCAAAATAGCCCTTTCTTTTTGTGGGGAACTACAGCCAATGAGAGCGCAAGACATTGGTTGAGGGGACACCTGGAGGAACAGGAAGGCCTGTTAGTTCGACAATTTGACACTATCAGCTCAATTTAGGACACTTTATTTTACAAAAGGTGACAATTGTTTCTTTATAACTGTATTGAAGCACTTATTTCACAAAAAATAGTGCAATGTTCTGGTACAAAAAAAATTGATATTCATTACACTTTTCAATATATTCTTAAAAAAAAAAAAAAAAAAAATTTGTTGTAACAAATGACAAAATGTGCTTGAATCGTAAAAGACAAATCAGAAGTATCCATCCATCCGGTTTCCTCCGCTTATCCGGGGTCGGGTCGCGGTGGCAACAGGCCAAGCAGGCTGACCCAGACTTCCCTCTCACCGGCAACATGTTCCAGCTCATTCTGGGGATCCCGAGGCGTTCCCAGGCCAGCTGGGAGATGTAATCCCTCCAGCGTGTTCTGGGTCTTCCCCGGGGTCTCTTCCCAGTTGGACGTGCCTGGAAAACCTGCAGTGGGAGGCGTCCAGGAGGCATCCTAATTAGATGCCCGAACCACCTCTGCTGACTCCTTTCGATGCGAAGGAGTAGCGGCTCGACTCCAAGCTCCCTCCTGATGACCGAGCTCCTTACCCTATCTCTAAGGCTGAGCCCGGCCACCCTACGGAGGAAGCTCATTTCGGCCGCTTGTAACCGCGACCTTGTCCTTTCGGTCACGACCCAGAGTTCGTGACCATAGGTGAGGGTAGGAACGTAGACCGAGTGGTAAATTGAGAGCTTTGCCTTCCGGCTCAGCTCCCTCTTCACCAAGACGGTCCGGTGCAGCGCCTGCTTTACTGCTGCAGCCGCACCGATCCGTCTGTCGATCTCCCGCTCCTAAATCCTCCGCGAATCGCCACCTTAACGTGGTGGAGTTTGAGTGGCTCAGTGATCCTGGGAGCTATGTTGTCCGGGGCATTAGCCCCTGGTAGGGTCTCCCAAGGCAAACAGGTCTCGGGGGAGAGCCCAGACTAAGAGCGGTTCAAACAACCCCTATGATAGTTAGCCCACGGACTACAGCCACCTCGCCCGGACCAGGGAAACCGGGGCACCCTCCCGGAGCCAGACCCAGGAGGGGAGCTCGTCGGCGAGCGTCTGGTGGCCGGGCCTTCGCCCATGGGACCCGGTCGGGCTCAGCCCGAATAAACGGCATGGAGCAGCCACGCTGTGGACCCACCACCCGCAGGGACAAGCATCGGGGTCGGGTGCAATGCACACCGGGCGGCGGGTCAGGCGGGAGGCCTGGGCGAGCCGATCTCCGGCAGCATAGACTAGCTCTAGGGATGTGGAAAGTCACCTCGCTAGCGGGGAAAGAGCCAGAGCTGGTGCAGGAGGTGGAGCGATACCAGCTAGATATAGTTGGACTCACCTCCACACACAGCGCTGGCTCTGGAACCAAGCTCCTGGAGAGAGGTTGGACTTTGTCCTTTTCCGGAGTTGCCCAGGGTGAGAGGCGGGAGTGGGGATACTCGCGAGCCCCCGGCTGAGCGTTGGAGTGTTGGAGTTCTCCCCGGAGAACGAGAGGGTCGCGACCATGCGCCTACAGGTTGCGGGGAGCAAGGCTCTGACTGTGGTTTGTGCTTACGCACCAAACAGCAGTTCAGAGTATCCGGCCTTCTTGGAGTCGGTGGGAGGGGTTCTGGAACGGGCGCCACCTACCGACTCCATAGTTCTCCTGGGGGACTTCAATGCTCACGTGGGCAATGATGGAGAAACCTGGCGGGGGGGTGATTGGGAGGAACGGCTTGCCCGATCTGAACCCGAATGGTGTCTCGTTATTGGACTTCTGTGCGTGCCGTGGTTTGGCCATAACGAACACCATGTTCGAACATAAGGTGGCTCATAAGTGTACCTGGTACCAGAACACCTTAGGTCGGAGATCAATGATCGACATTGTAATCGCATCATTTGATTTGCGGCCGTATGTCTTGGACACTCGGGTGAAGTGAGGAGCAAAGCTGTCAACTGATCACCACCTGGTGGTGAGTTGGATCAGATGGCAGGGGAACCGGTTGGAAAGACCCGGCAAGCCCAAACGTATAGTGAGGGTGAACTGGGAACGTCTGGCGGAGGACCCTGTCGGGGAGGTCTTTAACTCCCACCTCCGGAAGAACTTCTCTCACATCCCGAGGGAGGTTGGGGACATGGAATCCGAATGGACCATGTTCAAAGCCTCTATTGTGGACGCGGCCGCTAGGAGCTGTGGCCGGAAGGTCATCGGTGCCTGTCGTGGTGGACACCGGAGGTGAGGGAAGCCGTCAAGCTAAAGAAGAAGACCTTCAAGGCCTGGTTGGCCCAGGGGTCTCCCAAAGCTGCTGACAGGTACCGGCAGTCCAGAAGGGCTGCAGCTGCGGTGGTCGCGAATGCTAAAACTCGGGCATGGGAGGAGTTCGGGGAGGCCATGGAGAAGGACTTTCGGTTGGCCTCAAGGAGGTTCTGGCAAACCATCCGACGGCTCAGGAAGGGAAAGCAGGGGGGGGACTGCTGACCCGGATAGGGGACATCGTCGGGCGGTGGAAAGAACACTTTGAGGAACTCCTAAACCCGACCAACATGTCCCCGGCAGAGGAGGCAGCGCCTGAAGATCTAGGGGAAGGCTCACCCATATCCCTGGCAGAGGCCGCTGAGGTAGTCAAAAAGCCCCTTGGTGGCAAGGCGCCGGGGGTGGATGAGATCCGCCCTGAGATGCTGAAAGCGCTGGACATGGTTGGGCTGTCCTGGCTGACACGCCTCTTCAATGTCGCATGGGGGTCGGGATCAGTGCCCATGGACTGGCAGACCGGGGTGGTGGTTCCCATTTTCAAAAAGGGGGACCGGAGAGTGTGCTTGAATTACCGGGGTATCACACTACTCGGCCTCCCGGGGAAGGCTTATGCCAGGGTGCTGGAAAGGAGGCTCCGACCGTTTGTCGAACCTCAGATACAAGAGCAGCAATGCGGATTCCGTCCCGGCCGTGGAACAGTGGACCAGCTCTTTACCCTCGCAAGACTACTGGAGGGGTTCTGGGAGTTTGCCCAACCAGTCTACATGTGCTTTGTGGACTTGGAGAAGGCTTTCGACCGGGTTCTTGTGGGGGGTGCTGCGGGAGTATGGGGTGCCGGACCCGTTACAACGGGCGATCCGGTCTCGGTACGACTGCAGTAGGAGCTGTGTCCGCATTCTCGGCAATAAGTCAGACACGTTCCCGGTGGGTGTTGGCCTCCGCCAGGGCTGCCCTTTGTCTCCGGTCCTGTTCGTGACTTTCATGGACAGGATATCTAGGCGCAGCCTGGGGGTGGAGAACGTCAGGTTCGGGGGTCTCGGGATCGCCTCTCTGCTGTTTGCAGATGATGTGGTCCTGTTAGCCTCCTCGGATCTTGACCTCCAGCATTCACTGGGGCGGTTTGCAGCTGAGTGTGAAGCGGCGGGGATGAGTTGGCACCTCCAAATCTGAGGCCATGGTGCTCTGCCGGAAACCGGTGGATTGCTCCCTCCAGGTGGGGACGGAGTGCCTACCTCAAGCAAAGGAGTTCAAGTATCTTGGGGTCTTGTTCACGAGTAAATCAGAAGTAATACAACTGAAAAATTAAGGGGGGGGGGGAATAAAATGGAATCTGTAAAAAATTGTAAGCGGATTTCTTAGGACCCTAATGGAGTGTAGAGGGTACCGGAAAATAAATGTTCCTGTCTGTTATTCTCAGATGGAAGTAGATGAGTCAGAGGAAGAGGAGGAGGAAGAGGAGCTTCATTTCTCAGCCCAGGATTTGGTAAAGATCAGAAACGCTGTGGTTCTCCTGGTTCAAAGCCTCATCCAACTCCTGCAGACATTTCCGCTCAAAGACAGACCACAGAGCGTCGGCAACTTCACGCAGGTAGCTAGTGATTCCATCGTCCCGCCCGCTCGGTACCACATTGCATTGTTTTCATGTGTTTGTTTCATTCGCAGATCTTTAGCAAGCTGCTTTACTTTGAGCCAGTTATCGGAGAGATGACCTTTGCGGCTCCATGGTGAGTTGTAACTTTCACTTCTCTCTCCGTCTTGATAAAACAATGTGTGCAGGATTTGCGAGAGCTGACCGTTGTTATTTCTGCACAGGGATATCACCAAGCTGAGGAGTGTTCCAGAGATGGCTTTCTACGGCCTGCAGCTGCTCTGCTCGCCAAAACACGGCGACAAGAAAGAAGTAAGATCCAATAATCATGGTCCACGGTGGGCCAATAGTATACACACTTGTTGGTTTGGCATATTAACTTATCTGATTAAATTTGCAGCTATTCTGAACATTTTGACAAATGGTGTCATAGGTACTCTGGATAATCCACAGATCTCACTGTCAACTGTCTTCATGATGTTTCTGTAGTAGTGATGCATAGATTAGTCATATTTGCGGTTTTCGGTCATAGAATTATCATCCTGATAAATGGCGAATTATCTGTTTCATAGCATGGAGCTCTGTGGTTGTATATGCATATTGATCAATAGTAGTTAGTATTTCAGTCTTTTTGGGAGATTTATGTTTAAGATAAACTCAGGTGGTCTCTATGCTTTGGAAATGTTGACTGGGAGTTTTACTTCAAAACATTATTTATTTCCTTATAGCCATATTAACTTAATAAATTGTATGATAAATATTTTCAGCAATTTTAGATAATGAAAATAGGTTTAATTACAATGGATTCATATTTCTTATTATCATACCTGTCAAAGGAGACAAGATATATGTATATACACCTTATGGTTGAGGAGCTATTCCTGAATAATTTTGGGTATGTTACTTGAGGTGTTTTTTCCGAGAGCTAGGGTTTAACAGGTCAAACCCATAACAGAGTGATGTTTCTAATATTAACTGATGTGTCTGTTGTCCAGTCCCTGCAGAGGGTCTTTCACCGGCTTCTCTACGTGATCCTGATGATGAATAAAGCCAACAAAGGGAAACCCTCCCTCCTCGTACCCAGCCAGGCCATCCTCTCCACCCGTGACCAGGCCATCCGTTTTGTTTGGTAAACAGCTGTGTTTTGATCAATTGTAGAATTACTTTGTTCAAATCTCTGTGCGATATAGTAAGATTTAGACAAGTGACGACGTTCAATATTTTAAATGGTTCCACAGTTTTGTGAAGAACGTTCTGGTCTTCATCTCCACCAGACTGCAATGAATGAAAGATTCGGTAGAGGCCACACATTTCAGTATGAGATGCGTGATCATTAGCCTGTTTTCAAGGGGTTTAAGCCCAGATCCTGATCAACATTTTCTAACATTTGGTATCGATTGGCCACTGCCCGGTTTTCAGCTGATCAGTCATGACAGGTGACTGGCCCATCCGTCTCATATATGCAATTTTCTTGCTGGTCAAATTCACACACGTGTGATGGTTTTACGTTGTGCATACAGCAGCGGAAGCTGTGCGGTACACACGCACGCGCACACACACACACACACACACACACCATGTTGTCTGTGTGGAAGTTCTTCAACATGAATGAAGAAGACATAAGGCTAGTAAAAGTGTGATATACTGCAATTCATTTTTAGTTGGATTTTATTTGTCTTATAGAACCTGTTTGTGAATGAAAGGAACTCGGACAGAAAAATGCAGTTGGTACAGCTCTAGTATCAGTTTCGATCCAATACTTATATTTACTTTAATGTTGATTAAATATGTATCTGACATATTTAAATAACAGCTTTACAAACTTCTTGATCCAAATACTGGAGATGCTGGTTAAAAATGAGTAAGTGAATATGCTTAAAATATTGATCTATGCAAGCTTGACAGAATAATTGACGTGATCCAGTAGAGAGAAGTGTCACCCTGTTGCTGGCCAATACAGATCGATTACAATATGCCTGGAAATCTTTACTTTACATGTTAAGACCTCCCCCGCTTCTATAATGGTGAAATCAAACTGACTCAGGATCAGAAGCTAAAGGACAGGAGCAACAAAAGTCCGAGGACCTCAAGGGAAAGGGCCAGAAAATGTGGCACTAGTCAAGAGGAGAACAAAAAAATAGTTACTTTGTAAACTTAATGTCAAAATGAAACTAATTTGGGTAATGTTTTCATTTTGTTTTTTATGACAATCTGTGCACTTGCTTAGAGTGTCCTGACTGTCATCTACTGGAAATAAAGAGAAGTGAAGCTGGATTTGATTAGTATCTCTCCCGTATAAAAATAATCTTTAGATGTATTATAAAAGCCACCAAAATGTCAACATGATTTTTTTAAAAAACAATTTTTAATGGTATTTGTCTTAAATAAGTGGGCCAATTGCATCATACATTGCAACTGTAATAAGCATAATGTATGGCTTCAAGCAACTCCCATCTCCTATCAGTCCTTTATTTCTGTTGGTAGAAGGAACGCTGCACATCAGGATCTCTTGGTTGTTGATTACTTTCTAGCCATTTAACTGTAGACATGTTATGAGTCGTATTTGACTTTGTACATGATTTATGTGTTTGATTGCAGTCATCTTGTGGAGCAGCAGAAAGAGTTGGCGCTGCCTGTCTTGCAAATCCTCCTGCAGCATATCTGCTTCCAGGTGAATCCTCCAGCAAACACTCAGCAGTATTACAATTCCTGTTTGTGTCAACTCTTCATCTCTTCAAGGGGACATATCATGAAAAACTCACTATTCAGTGCTTGTGCATCAGGGTTAATTTCATTGATTTAAAAACCTTTTTTCCCATGACGAGATGGCACCAATGTCAATTAACACTACCGGCGACGATATCAAATCTGCAATATTGTTGACGGAAAAAAAGCGGAGTTTTAAAATATTAAAACTTTACTTTAAAATTTATTTTTCTTCACCTTCCATCCTCTCTTGTCCTCACTCTATCGCTCTCTCTGTTTCAAATGCACATCGCCATGACAGCGGCGCCAAGTCTGTCTATATCCATGTCTCAGTCCTGACAATAGTGCTACTATAATGCGTAATGTTTGCGACTTGTGGGTCGGGTGGTTGATTGACAGATTTATCTCTCTCTCATTGCTCACAATGGCCCACTGTCCCGCGCATCACTTGAGGACAACTGTGTTGATTGTGATTCAAACTGTGTCATTTATGTGAAATGAAATGACAAAATTATTGGTTAACCCAAATAATTAACCCAGTAAATTTTCTTTTTAGATCAGAAGACATGTGATTCAACAAGCCAATCAAATTTGGCTCCCCTTCCTTCAAGCTCATTAGGATATACCCCCCCCCCCCCCCCGGCATACCTACACCCACAGCTTGAGAACAACCTTTGCACAAGCCAAGCAGAGCAGACTGGGCTTTTTTTTTCAGGAGGGGGGCTTAAAGAGACGGGCGCAAAAAATGGAACGTTTCAGACAGAGGGGGGAATACAGATATAGTCGGACAGATGGCATGAGAAAAATAAAGTGTTTTCGAGCATTACAGCATGTAATGTTTTAGTAGAAACCCAAAATACAAGTATGAACCTGGCGGCAACCTCCGGTGTGTCTTAAAACTTGCATTTTCTCTACTGACCAAAAGGGGGCGACTCCTCCGGTTGCAAAAAGAAGGTTGTATAGAAAGAAGTCTATGATAAAATGACTCTACTTCAAACTTGATGCATTACCTCAGTAAACATGTTTTCATGGTCTCAAATGCAGAGCAAAAAACGCCTTGCAGTTGAAAATTATAGATATTGATATCACCCCAATTCTTTTTTTTTTTTTTTTTTTTTTTTTTTTTTTTTTTTTTTTTTTTTTTATGAAACTGCAATGAATAATTACAAAAAAACATTTCTCTAACTGTAGCCTAGTGAAGAAAGTGTAGAACAGTTCCTACCTGCAACAGGTTGGTCAGCATGATGAGTCTGCTCCCGAATGACAGCTTCACTGTCTCGCGTGGAGATGTTGGGGATATAGTGATCCACGATGTTGGTGTATTGAACACACAGATCACACATAATCACAACCACATTGTTGCGCACAGCAACCCCTGTGCCAACCGCCAGCTCCCTGGCAAACACCGGCAGGTACTTCTGGACGAGTTCCTCATGCTGCAGACACAGTTTTTGGAAAACGTTAGATGTGTAATGGGACGGCAGAAATGCATGGAGGTTAAGGCTATGAACAATGTTTCTAATGGTACATTTACACAGGCTCCATCATTTCCATGCTTCCTATTAATTGTCTATGTAAAAGTAGAGCCAATGTGGAAGCGCATTAAATTTGCATTCATTCAAATGGCCAGCAGGGGCCACTCCTCTGGTTGCAAAAAATAATTCAGTCTATGAGAAAGTGACCCTGCTTCTCACTTGATGTATTATCTCAGTAAACTTCGTCAACATGAGTTTATGGTCTCAATCTCTAGTTTAAAGTCTGCTTCAATACAGCATGATGTTCACTTAGTAAATTATGGTCCGTTTAGAGTAGAGTCTATAAAGCAGGATATATTTAATTGCGTGCTCACTGTATTTGACAGGTTGCTGCCGCTACCAGAGACGTATCGGACGTCTCTACATCACTCCTCCGCATTCCAAATATGGAAACTTCTGTTTATCGGTTGCAAAAAAACAACATGGCAACGGCCGTGATCCAAGATGGCGACAGCGAAATTGTCGAGCTCAAGGCTTCAAAATGGAAGTCCCCAAACCAATGGGGGACGTCACAATGACTACGTCCACCATTTGTATACAGTCTATTGGATGAACCTGAAAAAGACCATATGTCCCCTTTAAAATGATGAAGGCAGTCACATCGCATGCAAGGATATTTACAGACGATTGTAGTGATAGAATAGATTGCTTTCAGATTGTTTTTACCTGACTCATTAGTATAGCTGGGATATAAATGTTTCTGCTGTGGATGTTTAGATGGTGGAGAAGAGCGAGTTTCGAAGCTATGGATCCCAAGCTGTTGGGATGTTGACGTCCCAGATGGAAAGTACAGACTATGCCAGCTTCATTAAGTGGCTGTTTATCTTCTCCAGAAGCTCAAAGGTAACACAATTGGGACAATTGTCCCCTCAGACATTTTATCATGATTCACACACCAATACAGTACCTTGCATAAGTATTCACCCCCTTTGGATGTTTCATCCTTTTGTTGCTTTTATACATGAAATCATGGTCAATATAATTTGGCTTTTTTGACAAGAATTTGCAAAAAAAAACCTCTTTAATATCAAAGTGGAAACAGATTTTTACAAAATAATGTCAGTTAATTAAAAATATATAAGATAAAGTAAAGATTGCATAAGTATTCACCCCCTTCAGGTCAGTATTTAGTAAATGTACCTTTGGCTGCAATCACAGTAGTGTGTGTGTGTGTGTGTGTGTGTGTGTGTGTGTGTGTGTGTGTGTGTGTGTGTGTGTGTGTGTGTGTGTGTGTGTGTGTGTGTGTGTGTGTGTGT